TGAAAGGAGTCTGCACTTGCTCTTACACAGACTTGGTATGTCAGAGATGGCCTCCTGTACGTAGCTTCTAGTTTTATCAATACATCAGTCTTACTGATCATGCAAGCTTTTCAACAAGGACAGACACTTAAAACTAGGATTTGCCTGCTTTCTGCAAAATTCTCACTATAGCAATATCATGAAAAGACTATTCATCCAACCCCAGTTACCAATGACTCCCCATTCCCAGAGAGAAGTCAGATTTTGAAATGAAAGAGCAGGCAGACAATTCCAGAGGCAACATTTGGTAGTGCTCAGAATCATATAACAATGCAGATGTCTCCAAAATCCCAATACAAATCCTGTCAAACCCATCTCATTTGATTAGATTCATCAGCTTTGGTTAATACAAGTAACAGTGCACAGAGAAGATTTCTGGAAGGGTGTTTGAGCTGGTACCACATTCCAGTACCTGAAGGGGCTACAAGAAAGCTGGGGAAGGACTTTTCATAAGGGCAGTTAATGACAAAACAAGGGGAAATGGGTTTAAGATGAAAGAGGGGAGGTTTAGATTAGATATTAGGAAGAAGTTCTTCACTGTGAGGACGGTCAGACACTGGAACAGGTTGCCCAGGGAAGTTGTGGATGCCCCCTCCCTGGAAGTGTTCTCGGCCAGGTTGGATGAGGCTTTGAGCAACCTGGTCTAGTGGAAGGTGTCCCTGCTGATGGCAGGGGGGTTGGGACTGGATGAGCTTTAAGGTCCCTTCCAACCCAAACCATTCTATGATTCCTACACAACTGTGGAAAGTCAGCAGAGCACTAAGTAAATGAAAACTGAAAAATAATTTTATGTGTGTCAGTCAAAGAAATCATCACAGCATAGACGCGCTCTACTGCGCTCATTAAGGTCACTGTTCTCATCAGTGGGGTGGAAAGACAATCACTGATGATAGGATTTGCATATAAAACATTGGCAGACAAGTACATAGGGAGGACAATGTTGTTATATTTAGTGATCAGAATTGCTTCAGAAGATAAGCCCATTCAAACAAGACTGGTTAATGCAGTTACAGAGGCCA